GGCTCAAGTAGTGGAGTGGTACGCTTGAGCTAAACAGCTCAGGGACAGTGCCCAGGCCCTGAGTTCAAGACCAGGAGTGGCATGTCTGCTGCTATTGACTTTTCAAATAAAAGATTGCATGTGTGCAGGTGTGTGCAGCCCCATCTCTAAGATGAATGACAGAGTGCCCATCCTACCAGATCCCGGCAAAGCTCCCTCCACAGAGGTATGCAGAGAGATTCCTCCCTCCTCTTTGCCGCTGCCTAGAGCGTTGCCGTGGAGCACTCCGGTTTGTTCAGACAATGCTGTGCAGTCTTCCTCTGTTCCCCACGCCGCTGCCCTGGGTGACATTTGTGTCACTGCCCCACCAGTGTTGCTGGCCAAAAGGCAAAAACTGCCTTTGCCTTAAGGGAATTGGTTCAGTCTTTAAAAAGAAAAATACTCTTCCTGGCTTTATGGATAGAGACCAGGCATTATTATTATTACTTCTTCTTCTTCTTCTTCTTCTTCTTCTTCTTCTTCTTCTTCTTCTTCTTCTTCTTCTTCTTCTTCTTCTTCTTCTTCTTCTTCCTCTTCCTCTTCCTCTTCCTCTTCCTCTTCCTCCTCTTCCTCCTCTTCCTCCTCTTCCTCCTCCTCTTCTTCTTGTTCCTTGCCATTTCTTCTTCTTCCTTGCCTCTTCTTCTTCTTCTTTGCCTCTTCTTCTTCTTCTTCTTCTTCTTTGCCATTTCTTCTTCTTCTTCTTCTTCTTCTTCTTCTTCTTCTTCTTCTTCTTCTTCTTCTTCTTCTTCTTCTTCTTCTTCTTCTTCTTCTTCTTCTTCTTCTTCTTCTTCTTCTTCTTCTTCTTCTTCTTCTTCTTCTTCTTCTTCTTCTTCTTCTTCTTCTTCTTCTTCTTCTTCTTCTTCTTCTTCTTCTTCTTCTTCTTCTTCTTCTTCGTCTTCTTCTTCGTCTTCTTCTTCGTCTTCTTCTTCGTCTTCTTCTTCGTCTTCTTCTTCGTCTTCTTCTTCGTCTTCTTCGTCTTCTTCGTCTTCTTCGTCTTCTGCTTCTGCTTCTGCTTCTTCTGCTTCTTCTGCTGCTTCTGCTGCTTCTGCTGCTTCTGCTGCTTCTGCTGCTTCTGCTGCTTCTGCTGCTTCTGCTGCTTCTGCTGCTGCTTCTTCTGCTGCTTCTTCTGCTGCTTCTTCTGCTGCTTCTTCTGCTGCTTCTTCTGCTGCTGCTTCTGCTGCTGCTTCTTCTGCTGCTGCTTCTTCTGCTGCTGCTTCTTCTGCTGCTGCTTCTTCTGCTGCTGCTTCTGCTGCTGCTTCTGCTGCTGCTTCTGCTGCTGCTTCTTCTGCTTCTTCTGCTTCTTCTGCTTCTGCTTCTGCTTCTGCTTCTGCTTCTGCTTCTGCTTCTGCTTCTGCTTCTGCTGCTTCTTCTGCTTCTTCTGCTTCTTCTGCTTCTTCTGCTTCTTCTTCTGCTTCTTCTTCTGCTTCTTCTTCTGCTTCTTCTTCTGCTTCTTCTTCTGCTTCTTCTTCTGCTTCTTCTGCTTCTTCTTCTGCTTCTTCTTCTGCTTCTTCTTCTGCTTCTTCTTCTGCTTCTTCTGCTGCTTCTGCTGCTTCTGCTGCTTCTGCTGCTTCTGCTGCTTCTGCTGCTTCTGCTGCTTCTGCTTCTGCTTCTGCTTCTGCTTCTGCTTCTGCTTCTCCTTCTGCTTCTGCTTCTGCTTCTGCTTCTGCTTCTGCTTCTTCTGCTTCTGCTTCTGCTTCTGCTTCTGCTTCTTCTGCTTCTGCTTCTTCTGCTTCTGCTTCTGCTTCTTCTGCTTCTGCTTCTTCTGCTTCTGCTTCTTCTGCTTCTGCTTCTTCTGCTTCTGCTTCTTCTGCTTCTTCTGCTTCTTCTGCTTCTTCTGCTTCTTCTGCTTCTTCTGCTGCTTCTGCTTCTTCTGCTGCTTCTGCTGCTTCTGCTGCTTCTGCTGCTTCTGCTGCTTCTGCTGCTTCTGCTGCTTCTGCTGCTTCTGCTGCTTCTGCTTCTTCTGCTTCTGCTGCTTCTGCTTCTGCTTCTTCTGCTTCTGCTTCTTCTGCTTCTGCTTCTTCTTCTGCTTCTTCTTCTGCTTCTTCTTCTGCTTCTTCTTCTGCTTCTTCTTCTGCTTCTTCTTCTGCTTCTTCTTCTGCTTCTTCTTCTGCTTCTTCTTCTGCTTCTTCTGCTGCTTCTTCTGCTGCTTCTTCTGCTGCTGCTTCTTCTGCTGCTGCTTCTTCTGCTGCTGCTTCTGCTGCTGCTGCTTCTGCTGCTGCTGCTTCTGCTGCTGCTGCTTCTGCTGCTGCTGCTTCTGCTGCTGCTGCTTCTGCTGCTGCTGCTTCTGCTGCTGCTGCTTCTGCTGCTGCTTCTTCTGCTGCTGCTTCTTCTGCTGCTGCTTCTTCTGCTGCTGCTTCTTCTGCTGCTGCTTCTTCTGCTGCTGCTTCTGCTGCTGCTTCTGCTGCTGCTTCTGCTGCTGCTTCTTCTGCTGCTGCTTCTGCTGCTGCTTCTGCTGCTGCTTCTGCTGCTTCTTCTTCTGCTTCTTCTTCTGCTTCTTCTGCTTCTTCTGCTTCTTCTGCTTCTTCTGCTTCTTCTGCTTCTTCTGCTTCTTCTGCTTCTTCTGCTTCTTCTGCTTCTGCTTCTGCTTCTGCTTCTGCTTCTGCTTCTGCTTCTGCTTCTGCTTCTGCTTCTGCTTCTTCTGCTTCTTCTGCTTCTTCTGCTTCTGCTTCTTCTGCTTCTTCTGCTTCTTCTGCTTCTTCTGCTTCTTCTGCTTCTTCTGCTGCTTCTGCTTCTTCTACTTCTGCTTCTTCTGCTTCTGCTTCTTCTGCTTCTGCTTCTGCTTCTTCTTCTGCTTCTTCTTCTGCTTCTGCTTCTTCTGCTTCTTCTGCTTCTGCTTCTTCTGCTTCTGCTTCTTCTGCTTCTTCTGCTTCTTCTGCTTCTTCTGCTTCTTCTGCTTCTTCTGCTTCTTCTGCTTCTTCTGCTTCTTCTGCTTCTTCTGCTTCTTCTTCTTCTTCTGCTTCTTCTTCTTCTTCTGCTTCTTCTTCTGCTGCTTCTTCTTCTTCTGCTGCTGCTTCTTCTGCTGCTGCTTCTTCTTCTGCTGCTGCTTCTTCTTCTGCTGCTGCTTCTTCTTCTGCTGCTGCTTCTTCTTCTGCTGCTGCTTCTTCTTCTGCTGCTGCTTCTTCTTCTGCTGCTTCTTCTGCTTCTGCTGCTTCTTCTGCTTCTGCTGCTTCTTCTGCTTCTGCTGCTTCTTCTGCTTCTGCTGCTTCTTCTGCTTCTGCTGCTTCTTCTGCTTCTGCTGCTTCTTCTGCTTCTGCTTCTTCTGCTTCTGCTGCTTCTTCTGCTTCTGCTGCTTCTTCTGCTTCTGCTTCTTCTGCTTCTGCTTCTTCTGCTTCTGCTTCTTCTTCTTCTTCTTCTTCTGCTTCTGCTTCTGCTTCTTCTTCTTCTTCTTCTTCTGCTTCTGCTTCTTCTGCTTCTGCTTCTTCTGCTTCTGCTTCTTCTGCTTCTGCTTCTGCTTCTTCTGCTTCTGCTTCTGCTTCTGCTTCTGCTTCTGCTTCTGCTTCTTCTTCTTCTGCTTCTGCTTCTGCTTCTGCTTCTGCTTCTGCTTCTGCTTCTGCTTCTGCTTCTTCTGCTTCTTCTGCTTCTTCTTCTTCTGCTTCTTCTTCTTCTGCTTCTTCTTCTTCTGCTTCTTCTTCTGCTTCTGCTTCTGCTTCTGCTTCTTCTTCTGCTTCTGCTTCTTCTGCTTCTGCTTCTGCTTCTGCTTCTGCTTCTGCTTCTTCTGCTTCTTCTGCTTCTTCTGCTTCTTCTGCTTCTTCTTCTTCTGCTTCTTTGCCATTTCTTCTGCTTCTTCTTCGCCATTTCTTCTTCTTCTTCTTCTTCTTCTTCTTCTTCTTCTTCTTCTTCTTCTTCTTCTTCTTCTTCTTCTTCTTCTTCTTCTTCTTCTTCCTCTTCTTCCTCTTCTTCCTCTTCTTCCTCCTCTTCTTCCTCTTCCTCTTCCTCCTCTTCCTCCTCTTCCTCCTCTTCTTCTTCTTCTTCCTTGTCATTTCTTCTTCTTCCTTGCCTCTTCTTCTTCTTCTTCTTCTTCTTTGCCATTTCTTCTGCTTCTTTGCCATCTTCTTCTTCTTCTTCTTCTTCTTCTTCTTCTTCTTCTTCTTCTTCTTCTTCTTCTTCTTCTTCTTCTTCTTCTTCTTCTTCTTCTTCTTCTTCTTCTTCTTCGCCATTTCTTCTTCTTCTTCTTCTTCTTCTTATTATTATTATTATTATTATTGAGAAGTTTGTTGCCTCTGATTCTTGGGCACCAACAGAGGTGTAAGCCATGGGTGGAAAGTTTGCACATACCCACGGCAGACGCAGCTGCGCGCTAAGTGTCCTGCCTGCCTGCGAGCGCTGCGTGGCAGGAACACAGCCACGTGGCTCCAACGTCCAAGCAAGGACTAAAGAACTACACACTTTATTATTAGTTAATGGAGTAAAGAGAGTGACCAGGGCCTTTGGAAGTGGCCGGTAATTATGTCCTATAGAAAATCATCTCTCTCTCTCTCTCTCTCTCTCTCTCTCTCTCTCTCTCTCCCTCTCTCCCTCTCCTTCTCTCCCTCCCTCCCTCCCTCTCTCCCTCTCCCCTCCCCTCCCCTCAAAAGGACTTAATGTAAAGGAGAGGGGCTGGGTATGCATTAGCTGTGGTGAGGTCTAAGGAGAGGTGTGGAGAGGGCCTGAAATCACCCCCCAGAGACCCGCCTGGCCTCCTCCACCGAGAGCAGGGGGAGGGGTTACCTTGGAGCCTGGAGAGACCTCATTGGCCTGGGCTGCTCCGTTTCCATGGCGCCCGTCCATGGGCAGGTGTAGCTGAAGGCTCAGGATGGGGAGAATGGGGAGAATGCGAGGCCCTGGCAGGGCCTCCATCTGCCCCACCCCCACCCCGCTTCTACCCCCACCCCGACCTGGGGCTCATGCTGCTCCCATCTGAGCTCTTTGCAGCCCCTGGACGCAGGTGGAACGTTACTGGTCCTTTCTGGCCCAGGGTGTCACAACACTGTTTTGCCTCCCAGGGGAAATTCCAGCCTTGATGGAAGCTCAGCCGGGAGTTTGGGCCGGCACAGGGCCGGTGGAGAAGGGCGATCTCTGTGTCCTTTTGACTCCCCGGCGTTAAAAGGTGGGGTTCATATTATTATTAACCCCTCTCTAAAAATCCAGTGTTTGTTGTTGTTTGCCTTTACTGTTTATTTTGCTTTGTACATTTATTTCTGTATTGGTAGTGATCAGTCCCTCGATTCTGTATTCCTTTGCGTTTTATTGTTTATTTATTTACTTGCTCGCTGGGGTTTGAATGGAACTTCAGGCCCAGTGAAGTGATTTCCTCTAGATGCACTTCAGACATTTACTTATGCCCTCTGTCTTTTAGCTCTTATATATGTTATCATTTTGGTTTCAATTCCAGCAGTACCGAACAACCTCTGCATGCTAGATAGGTTTCCAGCAGGATAGACTTGTCTTATTTTTTTGGGGGGGGCCACAATTTGCATCATTGATTTCTAATTTCATTTTCTATTTGGTTCTATCTTTAGTTTTGTTCTCTTTTTTCCTACGGTCTATCACAGCCTTCCTGGAACTTGCGATGGATCCTAGGCTAACCTTGAACTTGTGGGCCTCCTGCTTAAGCTCCCTGGGTGCTGGGGATTACAGGCTTGTGCTACCATACTTAGTGTAGGATATCACTTTTTGGATGAAACTCACAGGAAGCTCTTTGGTAGCCTCAATCGTGCATTATGAGTTTTTTTAGTAGGTGTTTCACATATGTTTGAAAAAAAAAAATTGGAGCACTGTTTGGCTTGCTAGGTGCTGAATTCTTAGAAAAGCAGCTCACTGGAGTTGGTTAACTGCCTTGTTCAGATTCTTTTCAGCTTCGCTGCTTAGCAAAGTTGGGGGGCGGGTGGAATAGATAACCCTGCTCTCTACCAGAGTCCAGGACATGAAAATATCCATTGAAGGTTGATTGCTTTGGGGCAGGTCCTAAAGCAAAACATAGCAGCTCGTCTGTCACTCCAAATAAGGCCGAATGCTTCGAATCCCAGACTCATTACCCATAAAATCTAGGCTCTTGCCAGGCATCAGTGGCTCACGCCTGCAATCCTACTTACTCAGGAGGCTTGAGATGTGAGGATCATGGTTCAAAGCCAGCCTGGGCAGGAAAGTCCCTGAGTCTCCTATGTCCAATTTAACTACTACCAAGAAGTTAGAATGGCATTGTGGCTCTAGGCATGAGCCTTCAGCACAAAACGTTAGGGACAGCGCCCAGGCCTTGAGTTCAGGTCCCAGTAGTGGCACAAAAAATAAACCAAGCCCTGGGCTGTGGCCTGCAGTGGATCGTGTTTGCAAACACAGGCATGTTTGCAGTCTTGGGGTCTGTGCTGCATAGTCACTGAGGAATTCTGAAGAAGAGCAGGTGGAGGGCTGCTACCCCATTCTAGAAGCCCTTCACTGAGGCTGACCTCTGCTCCCAGGGGAGGGTGTGGGTCACCAAAAAATTTCTTGGTCTTGTTGCCCGGAAGAAACGTGAGCTTGGGACGCTGCAGAAGGGACGAAGGGAGAGGGGTGGGCGGGGAGCCCGGGTGCACCCGCCTCCCCTCTGCCCTGCAGAAGAGCTGAACGAAGCCCCTCAGAGCCCCTGCACCCTGCCACGTCCTCTCTTGTCCCTCCCCTCAGTGCGGAACGCCAAGACTGCAGTCATGACGACCCACGTGACCCTGGAAGATGCCCTGTCCAACGTGGATCTGCTGGAGGAGCTGCCCCTGCCCGACCAGCAGCCATGCATCGAGCCCCCGCCCTCCTCCATCATGTACCAGGTAGGGCAGACCGTGGAGCATGCTGGGAGCCCAGGACTCTGGGGATTCCTGCCCCAGGGTTTGGCTTGAAGGCAGAGAGGTCAGCACAGGCCTAGACTAGACTGGGGATGGGCACTCCCCTTCCCCACCCCCACCCCCCTCCCGAGCTTGTTGGTCTGCGGTCACTGAGCAGATCCTGTCATGAGCTAGGACGGGACTGCACACAGCTGTGTGGGGTCTGGGTGTGGTGGGGAGATCCCTCACCCCTGCAGCTCGGCAGCCCTGCTCCACCCCTGCTCTGCCCAGGCCAGGTTACCCCGGCGGTGCTGAACACGTTCATTTGAGAGGTTGTTTTAGCTCTCTGGATCCCTTTGCTAGTAGCCCTCGGCTAGGTCAATGCCCTCAACACCAGCACTCGGTCTGGCTCAGTGGTTAGCTGTATTAGGCTCACGCTTGAAGGCTTCGCTTATAAATTTGATTTGTTCCTATCTCGAGAGCCGGGTTGAATTTTTGCATTCTGTAAATACGGCTTATTACACGCAACACGGAAAAGTATAGTGAAGAACTATTACCACCACCACCCCCTCTCTCTAACACACACACACACACACACATATACACTCATACCTCCTTGGAGGGTGGGGCAGTCCTGAGCTTTGAGCTCGGGCCCTAGCACTCGCTAGGCAGATCCTCTGTCCCTTGAGCCACACCTCCAGCCCTGTTTCGCTTTCGTTATTTTTCACATAAGGCCTCACACTTGTTTTCTGGCTGGCCTCAGACCGCCATCCTCCTCCCCTAGGCCTCCTGGGCAGTCGAGCATCACATTTGAAAAGCCAGGCAACTGGGAATCGGAGCTTTTCCTTGTGGGGCTCGGCCCTTGCCCACTGGGATTGAGAGGGTCATACATGGGTTTTGTTGCTGTTGTTGTTTGGAGAGAGGGGAAAGATGAGAGGTCACTGGGCAGTAGATTTCCACCCGGAGCGGTCGCATTTGTTGGCAGTGAGTTCCCTCTTGAGCGCTCTGCACCTCGATTCCGCAGGCGAACTTTGACACCAACTTCGAGGACAGAAATGCATTTGTCACCGGCATCGCCAGGTACATCGAGCAGGCGACAGTCCACTCGAGCATGGTAAGTCTCTGTGACCCACAGATGTGAACCCGGCCAGAGGGACGGGGCTGGGGCAGCTTCCCGCGCGAGGGGTGGGGCTCAGCTACCCCGATGTCCTGCCTCGGCCAGGCCGGCCCTGGCCCCTGGTTACACTGCAGCCCTCAGCTTCCAGCACCGCAGTCCTGTCCACCGTGAGTCCATCTTAACCCCCACCACTTCCTGCCGGAGCTCCTGGGTTTGGCGGGGCTCCACGTGTGAGCAGATCCTTCCTTGTCTTAGAGACTTTTTGTAGATGATCAGATGTGTGGAATTTTCTGTCTTGACAAAAACCCAAAGGGTTCCTCATGCAAGATGCACAGCGGCCTTGCCTTGGGAATAGCCCAGTTCCCGAGGTGAGGAAGTTGGTGGCAGGAATGATTCGCGAGTGGAACCAGTGGTTGTATTCGATTGTATTTTATTTTTGTCAGTGGTGGGTCTCGAGCTCTTTTGCTCAAAGGCTAGCCTCTACACTTTCAGTCACGGCGCCACTTCCGGCTTTCTGGTGGTTAAGTGGAGATTAGATTATCGCAGGCTTTCCTGCCCAGGCTGGCTCTGAACCACGATCCTCAGATCTCAGCCTCCTGAGTAGCTAGGATGACTGAGCCACCGGGGCCCTGGGCAGTGGTTGTTTTTGTCCTTCGGCTTTTGACACTAAAAGAGGGGGAGCCCATCCCCCGTCCCAGTGGGGTTCTCATGGATTTATTCTCAAACGGCCCCAGATGTGAGGAATGCTCCATTGCCTGCTCCGTGGCTGGGCCCGTGGCTCCATGTCCCTCCTCACTGCGGCTTGCTTAGCTCTATTGCGCACTCAGCACTGCGTGCCTCTCCCCGCACACACAGCCAAGGTTGGCTTGAGAGCCAGGCCTGGTCCCCAGTGAATCACGGTAGGGAACAGATACTAGCCGTTCTCTAAGTCCTTCTGCTGGGCAAATAATATCTAGGCTCAGTGTCTCATTGAATCTGTGCACAGGCCCTTTAATACTCACTGTACCGATGGGGAAACGTGGAGTCCTTAAAAGTTAAAGAAACATGCCGGACACCCATGGCTCACGCCTGTAATCCCAGCTACTCAGGAGGTTGAAATCTGAGGATCGTGGTTCGAAGCCAGCCCTGGGCAGGAAGATCTGTGAGACTCTTATCTCTAATAAATCATTAAAAAAAAAAGCTGGGGGGCTGGGAGGTAGTTCAGTGGCAAAGAACTTACCTAGCAAGTGCAGCGTCCTGGGTTCAATCCCCAGCACCAAAAGAGAACACACACACACACACACACACACACACACACACACACACACACACACACACACACACACACACACACACACACACACGAGCTGCAAGTGCAGCTGTGGCTCAGAGTGGTAGAACACTAGCCTTGGGCAAAAAGCAGTTCAAGGACAGTTCCCAGGCCGTGCGTTCAAGCCCCAGGTCTGGTGCACACATGCGCGCGCACACACACATACACATGTTAAATTCACTCAGGGCTGCACAACAGACCAACTTAAGCTCAAGACTGACAAAAATACGCCAAGAGTGACTGTCATGGTTAAACTCTGGTTCCGGGGTGGGGGTGGGGTGGGTGCGTGTGGGAAGCGCGAGGACAGAGGTGGCTCTCTGGTGGGCCCCGTGGGAGGATAATGACAGCTTGTGTGCGCGTGGCCCTTTGAAATGATGTGGGCCAGCTCTCTGCGTGATAGCGCCGGAATCTCATTATAGTCTGGGCCTTGCAAAGGGATTATTATGCCCATTTGGGGGATGAGAAAATTAAGGCTGGAGAAGTTAATAAGCAAGTTGGTCATGCTTCCACAATGATGAATCAGAATCCTGGGCTGGGACCTGAACCCCAGGATCGACTCCTGGTCCTGAACTCTTTCTACTCCACTTGAATTGGACCCATCAGAGATGAGATGCGGGGTGGGGTGGGGGTGGGGAGGGTTTGGGGGAGGAGGCAGAGGAAATGAGGTACATGTCACAGAATTTTCAGGAACTCCCTGAATTTGGGCTGTGAGGTATCCCTAGGTAAATTGTGATATTTCTGGGAAATTAAATGAGGGTCGGGATGCAGAGTGTGTATTAGTCATCTACAGCTGCAGTAACAAAATACTGTAGGCCAGGTGACTGAATGGGAACCATTACCTTCCCGCCATTTTGTTGGCCGGAAGTTCTACCTGGAGTTTGGTCCTAGGGCTTGAACTCAGGACCTTGAACTCAGGACCTGGGCGCTGTTCCTGTGCTACTGCCCTCAAAGCTAGCCCTCGGCCACTTGAGCCACAGCACCACTTCTAGCTTTCAGGTGGTTCACTGGAGATAAGAGTCTCACAGGTTTCCCCTGCCCCAGGCTGGCCTTGAACCGTGATCCTCAGCTCCTCAGCCTCCTGAATAGCCAGGATTATAGTTGTGAGCCAGCAGCGTCTGGCAGGGCTGAATTCTCCCCAGAGGATTTAGGTGAGAATCCATCCTCTTGCTCTTTCCAGCTTCTAGAAGCTGTTCACCTCCTCTAGTAATTGGTTCCAGGACCATTTCCAGAAGAGTCAGGAGCAGAGCTTGAGTCTCTCTGGGCTCCACTCTGGACTTGTTCCACACCACATGGTCCCGCCCTCAGGATTCCAGGGTAATTATACAATAACCCCACAGAGGTCAGCTGACACGTCCCCGGGGCACAGCCCACATCCCGGCCCACAGCAATGGGGCCACCCGCCACCACCAATACCCAGTGAATCCACTCACCCCAATCTCACCTGCTGGGAGCCGTTGTTTGGTTTTGCACTTTACCGTTGCATCCTCTCCTGGCCGGCCTTCGACAGCGATGACAGTGTCTTTCCAATCTCAAGGACAATAGGTAATGGAAATAGGGAAGACTGAAGGCTTTTTCTTGAGAAACTGTCAACGACATTTGCTGCTGGCTGGAGCGCTAACAAGTAATGAGGCTCTAAGCTGCATCACGATCACCTCCTAACAATGATATTATGCACCGCAGAGGCAGAGTGCAAGTTAAGTCAATGAAGAGGTCGTTTTCTTTTTGTTGTTGTTGTTGTTATTATTGTTGAGATGCAACTATTTGCGAAGAGAGACGACCTAGTAGCATTCTCTTTTATCATTGCATTTTTGAAAGCTGGCTTCCCATAACATAAAAGAATTTAAAACATACAAATCAATGGGTTGTTCTATGTTTTAAAGCTGAGACCAGAGCTCAAACTGGATACCTGACACTTTTACTCTTTGGCAGGCACTCTACCAACTGAGCCACGCCTCCAGTCCCTCAATGAAAATTTTTTTTTTGTCGGTCATGGGGCTTGAACTCTGGGCCTGGGCTCAGCTCTTTAGCTCAAGGTGAGCGCTCTACCACTTGAGCTACAACACCACTTCCAGTTTTCTGGTGGTTTATTGGAGATAGGAATCTCACAGTCTCTCCTGCCCGGGCTGGCTTTGAACCGCGATCCTCAGATCTCAGCCTCCTGAGTAGCTAGGATTACAGGCGTGAGCCACCAGCGCCCGGCTCCTCAATGAAATTTTTTTTAAAGTACATTTGCAGTGTTATACCATCTGATTGTTGAGCACCCTATAATGATCTCCCAGACCTGTTAGCAGTCACTGCCTCACCCCAATTCTTTCCTTCACCTCTTAGCTAACGCTAGTGTACCTTCTGTCTCTGTGGATTTGTCTCTTGTGGACTTTCATTGAAAACTCTCCTATAATACATGGCCCTTGGGTTGATTTCTTGGACGTACAGTAAGGTTTTTGTTCCTTTGTTTGTTTGTTGGTCCTGGGGCTTGAACTTGGGGCCTGGGCACTGTCCCTGAGTTTTTGTACTCAAGGCTAATGCTCTACCATTTGAACCACAGTTCCAGTTCTGGCTTTTTTGTGGTTCTTTGGAGATAAGAACCTCGTGGACTTTCCTGCCTGGGCTGGCTTTGAATCACAATCCTCAGATCTCTGCCTCCTGAGTAGTCCTCAGATGACAGACGTGAGCCACCAGTGCCCAGCTAGAATAAGGTTTTCAGCGTGTATGCGGCCTCCTGTGTCAGCGCCTTGTTCATTTTTCCAGATAAGTAATATTCCATGCCATGGCTGTGCCGTGCTTTGTCCGTTCTTTATGTGATGGAGACTGGATCATTTCTATCTGGAAGCTGTCAGGAATAACACAACTGTGACATTCGTGTTACCCTCAAATCCTGAGCCCACACAAGTTCCTCTCAGGGGAAACATCAGGAATAGAATTGCTGCGTCAAATGGGGACTGAATGGTTCATGTGTGTGTTACTGCTGTGTGTGTGTGTGTGTCCAGTTCTCAATCCTCAACATCATCGCTTTATTTGGTGACTGAGTGATTTCATGTAGGCTAGAGGCCTAGTGAAGGGTGAAGCGGGGGTTGGACCCCAGAAATCTGTTCCCTTGAGCCCCGAGTTCTTTCCTCACCGCCCTGTCAAGTCAGGGGATGGTCGGGACTGTGTTCTTCGGGTTCATTTTCATGCTGTGGTTTGTGTTATCCTCTGCTCTACTCATTTTTTTTGGAGGGGGAGGGAGGGAATAATTCTGTTGTTAATCATCCTCTGGTGAAGCCATTCGCTCGTGAACTAGGGATTCATTCAGCGTGTGCACGCGGCCGGGCATGTGGCTCTGGCGGTCGAGCGCCTGTCTAGTAAGTGCAAGGTCTTGAGTTCAAACCCCAGGACTGCCAAAGAAGAAACGGAAAGCCAGCCTCCTCAGTGGGCCGGGGGGCGCAGCTCGGCGGCGGGGCCTCGCCCTGGCGTGTGTGAGACCCCGGGCTCCGTCCTCAGCGCTGCAGACGCATGAACGTCTCCAGATCTTCACCTGATACCGAGGATTAGAATAAAACTTAGCTGCTGTTACCATCATTGTAAGGGAAATAAAGCGTGAACATTATGGTTATTACATTAGTGTACTCTGTTGTACTTCACACTGTATATTAGAAAACTACCATGATGCAACTGTGGTGTATGTGTATAGATATGATAAATATATGCGCATATGTGCGTGTGCATAGGTATTACCCCTCCCTGATGCGTTTCCTGCCCCACAGAGAGCTTACCATCCACAGCTCTGACGCTTCTCCCACCAACCTCTTGTTTTCCAATCCACGGGATCAGACATGTTGATCGTCCTCTGTCCTTGATGACTGTGGTGTACTCTGTGTGAGGTGTCGCTCCGCGCTTCATTTCTGGCTCCTTCTGTGTATCCGGGACTGGGTTCTGCTCCCGGAAGCAGAACTCCACCTCTTTCTCCCCACGGTGGCCCCCTAGCTGTGGAGGAGCCCCGAGGCCACCTGGGGATTTTGTTGAGATGCAGACTCTGATTCCCAGAGAGGGAATCCCACATTTTGTATCCGGCCTCCAGGGAAGGCTGCCAGGGAGCAGCATGGTCTTGGGGGACTCCCTCCCCCCCGCAGGGGGTCTGGGGCTGAGGTGATTTTGCTGTTGCAGAATGAAATGCTGGAGGAAGGACACGAGTACGCGGTCATGCTCTACACCTGGCGCAGCTGCTCGAGGGCCATCCCGCAGGTGAGACCGCCCTGCCCCGCCCCGCCCTGCCCTGCCTCCCCCAGCCCACCCCAAACCACAGCTGGTCCTCCACTTGCCAAGGAAAATGGCGCTTCTAGAGACGTGACGATAAAGCCCAGGCCCAGGAAGTTGAGCGTCTGTGCAGTCCATGGTGTGCACAGCCTTTTATTTCCATATCTGGATGCACCGGCCGACCTGGGGCCACACCATCTCAAAAGGACACAAAGAACAAGATCTCTGCCCTCCAGAGCCAGGCTGCACACCCCCCCCCACCCCCATCCGCCTTTCCACCTCTGGGAATATCATCTTGTGAATTGTTACCATCTGCAGAAGCACATTGTTTCTTTCTTTTCTGTCATTCTGTCACTTGCCCTCTACCCCCTTCTTTTTTTTTTAAGTTAGGGACTTTTCTTCATGTGGAAACATGACACATTTTTTTTTTATTACCATCACTGATATCGAGGTAGACTTAATGGGTCTTGTTATTACAGAAACAACAAAGTACAGGTGTAGAGAATCAGCAGAAACTGACTAATCCTGGTCCTGAGGGATAACTTCCATTAAGTTTGTTTTGCATCCTGTTGGGTTTTCTAAGCCTCTGTTTTCTGGGAACACATGCACAGAGGATTGGGTTTGGCTCTACTCAGATGAGGTCCAGGTGGGTGGGTGTGGTCTTAGCAACAAGAGTAGAAGCCCGCGGTTCCATCCCAAGCGCAATTTACTTACTAAATGTTTTGTTGTTGTTGTTCTTGGCCAGTCCTGGGGCTTAAAATCAGGCCTGGGCACTGTCTCTAAGCTTCTTTTTGCTCAGGTCTAACGCTTTACCACTTGAGCCACAGCACCACTTCCAGCGTTTTCTGTGTATGTGGTACGGAGGATTCAAACTCAAGGCTTCATGCCTGCTGGGCAAGCACTCTACCACTGAGCCACCTTCCCAGCCCTGTTCTATGACTTTTTAATTTTTTTTTTTTTTTTTGCCCCTTCGTTGATGGTTGGATGGCTGCCATCTTTTCATGGCAATTCACAAAGATCGGTCTCGTTCTGTGGGATCACATGATTGTCCGTGGCATCATCCAGCGATAGATACTTAGCACTTGCAGCCATTTGGAGAATTTCTAAACTACCATCAAGATTAGTCCTGGAGCATAGGTCTGTAATCCCAGCACTCAAGAATTGAGGCACAAGCATCTAGGACATCCTGGGATGCACAGAGAGACTCTTTCTCAGGGATAGAGAGGAAGAAGGGAGAGAGAGAGGGAGGAGGAAAAGAGAGAACGGTAAGAGGGAAGGAGAGAAGGAAAAAGAAGGAAGGAAGATAGAAAAGAAGGAAGGAAGGATAGTTGGTCTGCAGTCAGCACCCAGAGAGAGGTACCCGTGAAACAGCACCCAGGTTCAGGTGTGAGCCCGGCTCCTAGGACGCCGGGCTCACGCGTGCCCCCTGCCGGCCCTCAGGTGAAATGCAACGAGCAGCCCAACCGCGTGGAGATTTACGAGAAGACGGTGGAGGTGCTGGAGCCCGAGGTCACGAAGCTCATGAAGTTCATGTACTTTCAGGTACGCGGGCCGAGCGCTGCGTGGCCACCCCTGGGGCCGGACCTGGGTGCAGCCAGCCGTTTGGGGGAGGCCTGTGTCCCCCGCGCAGGCCTGGCCCTCGGGGGCCGGGAGCGCGTGCCTTCCTGCCTGCTCTCATCAGAGCGCTCGTTCCGAAGGCCAGGTGGTGGGTTCGCTGCTCCAGCCCAGTGTCAACGGGAACCCCTCTTCCTCTCTGTCCCCAGCCCAGCCCGGTCCTGGGTGCTGGAGAGAGGACCGAGAACACGCACAGGGCCTCTTAGCCGGTGTGTGATGAGCGGTGCATGGGTGAACTGGCGGGGGTTACCCTGCAGGCGCCCCGCGCCCCCCCAGACCCCCCTCCCCCCCCGGCAGCTCTGCCTCCCCAGGTCCCTCCCCCCTCACGCGCCGCCCTCCCCCCGCAGCGCAAGGCCATCGAGCGGTTCTGCAGCGAGGTGAAGCGGCTGTGCCACGCCGAGCGCAGGAAGGACTTCGTGTCCGAGGCCTACCTCCTGACCCTGGGCAAGTTCATCAACATGTTCGCCGTCCTGGACGAGCTCAAGAACATGAAGTGCAGCGTCAAGAACGACCACTCGGCCTACAAGAGGTCAGCCCCTCCCCACTACCCCCTGCCAGAGGTCAGCCCTCCCCACTTCCCCCTGCCAGAGATCAGCCCTCCCCACTTCCCCCTGCCAGAGGTCAGCCCTCCCCACCTCCCCCTGCCAGAGATCAGCCCTTCCCCCTGCCAGAGGTCAGCCCCTCCCCACTACCCCCTGCCAGAGGTCAGCCCTTCCCCCTACCCCTGCCAGAGGTCAGCCCCTCCCCCGCCAGAGGTCAGCCCCTCCCCACCTCCCCCTGCCAGAGGTCAGCCCTCCCCACCTCTCCCTGCCAGAGGTCAGCCCTCCCCACCTCCCCCTGCCAGAGATCAGCCCTTCCCCCTGCCAGTGGTCAGCCCTCCCCACCACCCCCTGCCAGAGGTCAGCCCTCCCCACCACCCCCTGCCAGAGATCAGCCCTCCCCACCTACCCCTGCCAGAGGTCAGCCCCTCCCCACTACCCCCTGCCAGAGATCAGCCCTTCCCCCTGCCAGAGGTCAGCCCTCCCTACTACCCCCTGCCAGTGGTCAGCCCTCCCCACCACCCCCTGCCAGAGATCAGCCCTCCCCACCTACCCCTGCCAGAGGTCAGATCCTCCCCACCACCCCCCTGCCAGAGATCAGCCCTCCCCACCACCCCCTGCCAGAGGTCAGCCCTCCCCACCTCCCCCTGCCAGAGATCAGCCCTTCCCCCTGCCAGAGGTCAGCCCCTCCCCACCACCCCCTGCCAGAGGTCAGCCCCTCCCCACCACCCCCTGCCAGAGGTCAGACCCTCCCCACCACCCCCTGCCAGAGGTCAGCCCTCCCCACCTCCCCCTGCCAGAGATCAGCCCCTCCCCACCACCCCCTGCCAGAGGTCAGACCCTCCCCACTACCCCCTGCCAGAGATCAGCCCCTCCCCCATCAGAGGTCAGCCCCTCCCCACCACCCCCCTGCCAGAGGTCAGCCCTCCCCACCTCCCCCTGCCAGAGATCAGCCCTCCCCACCTCTCCCTGCCAGAGGTCAGCCCTCCCCACCTCCCCCTGCCAGAGATCAGCCCTTCCCCCTGCCAGAGGTCAGCCCCCTCCCCACCTCCCCCTGCCAGAGATCAGCCCCTCCCCCGTCAGAGGTCAGCCCCTCCCCACTCCCCCTGCCAGAGATCAGCCCCTCCCCACCTCTCCCTGCCAGAGATCAGCCCCTCCCCCGCCAGAGGTCAGCCCCTCCCCACCACCCCCTGCCAGAGGTCAGCCTCTCCCCCACCAGAGGTCAGTCCCTCCCCACCTCCTCCCACCAGAGGTCAGCCCCTTCCCACCTACCCCCCACCAGAGGTCAGCCCCTCCCCCTCCAGAGGTCAGCCCCTTCCCACCTCCCCCCATCAGAGGTCAGCCCCTCCCCTGACAGAGGTCAGCCCCTCCCCACCACCCCCTGCCAGAGGTCAGCCCTCCCCACCTCCCCCTGCCAGACATCAGCCCCTCCCCACTACCCCCCTGCCAGAGGTCAGCCCTTCCCCCTGCCAGAGGTCAGCCCCTCCCCCACCACCCCCTGCCAGAGGTCAGCCCCTCCCCACCTCCCCCTGCCAGAGGTCAGCCCCTCCCCTGCCAGAGGTCAGCCCCTCCCCCTGCCAGAAGTCAGCCCCTCCACATCTCCCCCTGACAGAGGTCAGCCCCTCCCCACCTCCCCCTCCCAGAGGTTGGGTACCTCCTTCCCTACAAGAGCATCTGTGGGTCCTGCTAGGACATTCTGAGCTTCCAGAACTTTCCTCGCATTGCTGATTGCGTTTCAGGCGCCTGTCCCGAGGGGGTGAACAACCCCGGGAACAGCCCCCAGGGCATCAGGGCGTGCCCCTTGCGCTGAGGGACCCTGACGGCCCTCACGCACAGCCTCGGGAAGGGTCACCCAGGCCGGGTTCGGACCGAAGCCCAGCGTGGCTCAGTCTGATGGAGCCTCGGTGCTGGCCTCTGAGTCCCCCCCCCCCCCCCAACCCGCCCCGTGTGCATTTCAGGGCAGCCCAGTTCCTCAGGAAGATGGCCGACCCCCAGTCCATCCAGGAATCACAGAACCTCTCCATGTTCCTGGCCAACCACAACCGGATCACACAGGTGAGGGAGCCGGCCGGGCCTGAGCCCCTGCCACACACCGCAGCGCGAGCCGACCGCCTCCGTCATCTCCTCTGCCCATCAGAGAGACAGGAGAGCTGCAGCCTCCCTCCCTCCCTCCCTCCCTCCCTCCCTCTTGGCCTAGGTCCTCCAGAAGAGACCTCTTGCGCCCCGCTCAGACCCTGTAGAGTTTGAGTGCAGGACACCTGATACCTCAGGCAAAGTCTGGGCCTCAGTTTCCCCCCATCTCTGTTGGCTTGAGAATCCGCCTTATATGTGCCAGGCTGGGCCACATGGCCTTAGCATTTGAGCCCTACATGTTTAGGAAACCGGGGCATGATCCGTCACCCCCTTTTCCAGGCCACACCCGCACGGCCGGCCCTGTCCCGTTTCCCCCAGCCAGGCTGGGTCCACCTTGTGTCACTTCAACTAGAGCAGGCGCCAGCAAGTCTACCTGCAATTCCCCCAGCCCAACAGGGGGTGGCGTCCCGCCAATTCTGGGGCTCTTTGTGTCCAGATCCCTGCCCCACAGGAGCCTGAGGGTGCTTTAGTCCTAGGGGGGTGTGTGTGGCAGGAACGGGGACCCCGGGCTGCCTCTCCTCCCTGCAGAACGTCTGCATTCTCCAAGCAGACCGAGTGCTGTAGCACTAGGCTGCCTCCTACGCCCTCCGTTGCAACCAGGGATGAGTGTGCAGAGGCCCGTGCGGGGGGGAGGGGGCAGGTGGTACAGGCTGGCTTGCAGGCTCCCCTTCCCTGGGGACACAGCTGTGTGTGTGTGTGTGTGTGTGTGTGTGTGTGTGTGTGTGTGTGTGTGTTGTACACACACGGACACAGCCACAGACTTGGGTGGCTGCTGGAGGATGCAGGCTCTGTCTAACCGGAAGGTGGCGCTGTTGTTCAGTGTCTCCACCAGCAACTGGAGGTGATCCCAGGGTACGAGGAGCTGCTGGCCGACATCGTGAACATCTGCGTGGATTACTACGAGAACAAGATGTACCTGACGCCCAGCGAGAAGCACATGCTGCTTAAGGTGGGAGGTCCCTGCCACACACCGCCGCCTGTGTGCGCCCTACCCACCCCCCCCCCTCCTCCCTCACCCTCTTCCTTCTGCCCTCTAACCCTTCCCAACCTTCATTCCTTCACCTCTACAGCTCGTGGTAGTTGAGTTGCAATGCCACCAGGGGGCGCCAAGCCTAAACCAAAGGACCCGGTGCTGGTCCTGTAAGGATGCTCCCAGGCCAAACAGGAAGTGATCTTTACAGTCTTCCTGTCCGCCCCCCTCCGGTGTCCCCTGATACGGAGGCACGTGGAGACGTGACGTTCCCACAGCGAGCCACACCCTCCACACTTGAGCTCTACATTCAACAGAACAAAGTGGGTTAGCTTTCAGTGGATAATTACAGGGGCTGAAATATTAAGAATCGCCCCCCCCCACACACACACACTTTTCAGACATCTTTGGGCCTACGTCTCAAGAACCTAGATGGGCACCGTTAGCACACAGATCCTGAGTTAGGTCTGTTTGGGGAGTGACCGTTTATCTCTGAGACTCAGCTGTGTGACTGGGCCAAGCTGTGTAACTCCTCTGTGTCTAGGCTTCCTCATCTGTAGAATGAGACTCTTGCCTTGAATCTGACTCACAAGAGTATGGTGCTGAGAGTAGACACTGAAGCAGTGGACAGCGATACTTGTTTTAAAGTCGCTGGCCCATTTAGGGCTCAGGAAGTAGCCACGACAGCCACCATAGTCATCTGCTAAACTTGCAGTTCAGATGAGCCTGGTATTTCCTGTCCTTACTCGAGGAGGCACAGAATGTGTTGTCTCGGGGGTCGGATGCCCACACATCATGGGGCTGCTGTCCAGAGCCCGTACCCCTGGCAATGATGGTGTCTGCTCTCCGCCCTCCCCGCCCTAGGTGATGGGCTTCGGCCTCTATCTGATGGATGGGAACGTCAGCAACATTTACAAGCTGGATGCCAAGAAGAGAATCAACCTTAGCAAAATCGACAAGTTCTTCAAGGTCAGCCGCTAGCTGGGGCTGTGGACACACCCCAGGACCCCTTTGGGGAATGGGAAATTGTGGGCTTTGTTAGGTGGACAGGAACTCTAAAGATGCAGAGGGGGGGGAGAGAGGAAGGGAAGAGGGAAGAGGAGAGGGAAGGGAAGGGGAAAGGAGAAGAAAAGAGAGGAGAGGAGAGTTGAGACAAGAGGAAAGGGGAGGAGGGAAGAGGAAATAAAAAGAGAGGGGAGGGCTGGGAAGGTGGCTCAGTGGTAGAGTGCTTGCCTAGCACGCATGAAGCCTGGGTTCAATTCCTTAGTACCACATGAACAGAAATGGTGCTGTGGCTCTAGTGGTAGAGCTCTAGCCTTGAGCACAGAGAGGCCCAGGGAGAGTGCTCAATCCCTGAGTTCAAGCCCCAGGACAAGGAAAGAAGGAAGAAAGGAAGGGAGGGAGGGAAGGAAGACAGGGAAGGAGGGAAAAAAAGCTGGGCACTGGTGGCTTACACTTGGAATCCTAGCTACTCAGGAGGCTGAGATCTGAGGATCATGGTTCAAAGGCAGCCCGGGGAAGGAAAGTTCGTGAAACTCTTATCTCCAATAAACCACTAGAAAACCGGAAGTGG